CCGCGGGGGTCACCAAGCCGCCGGGAACGCCCGAGCGCGGGGCCCGCCCCACCCTCCAAGGCGCTGGGGGGACACTGAGGGGCGATGTCAGACGGGCGGGGCCTCAGCAAGCAAACAGCTTGCGACCCAGGGGGCCGGACGCCCGGCGGCGGGGACCTACCTGTCAAAGAAGGTGGCGAGCAGCCGCCGGAGCAGCACCTTGTGCTTCACGCCCGCGCACAGGTGGCAGTTCATCAGCTGGCCCCGCGTGATGTAGACGCCCGAGCCTGCGGCCGCCAGACACAGTGAGGCNCCGCCAGACACAGTGAGGCCCGGCCCCGCCTGCCCGGCGGCCGTGGGGAGGGGCCGGGCGCACGGGCCTCCTGACCTCCCTGAGCAGCACCCCGCCCGGGCCTGGGTCCCCGCAGCGGGGAGGCGGCCTTGGTGGCCCCCAAATACCCTCCCCGCCTCCAGGGAGCTCCAGGCTCAGCCAGGGCCCGGAGAGTTCCGTCCTGCCCCGAGGTCCCCCCCGGACAAAGCGGTGGGGGCGCATCCTGCAGGCTGGGCGGGGCCCCACCTTCGGAGGAACAGTGTGAAAACCCTGGAAGGGCGCGCACAGTGCTCCCGGGCTCCGAGGGCTCCGCTGACCGACCACAGGGCAGGCACCCAGCCTCCTCATGGGGAAGGGGGCGAGGCGGGTCCCTCCTTGGGGGCAGGGCAGAAGGGCCTCCAAGGCCCTGCTCTGCCTGCGGACCCCAGGCTCCGGGGGGACCTTCCCCAGCTTGACCGTATTTCCCACATGAGCCGGGTCTCCTGGGGAGCTGGCAGCTGCTGGCCAGAGGCACACAGCTGGTTCAGCATGGAGACCACCTCAGGGTGTCTGGTCAGTGCTGCTGACAGTCCCTGGTCATGACCTGCCGGCGTCCCTGAGGGCCTCACACCCACCCATGTCATGTCTGTGGAGCTTCAAATCAACAGCAGACCAGGTGCCCTGGACCCCCTTGTTTGGGGAGACCTGTCACGGGCTGGGCACGGGGGGGCGACCTGTCTAGCTGACGGCAGGGACAGGGAAGGTGCTAGTCTTTGCCCCTCCTGACCCCAAACACCGACAGACAGGAGCCAGGGATCTGGCAGCTGGCGGGGGAAGCCTCGGGGGAGGCCCCAGGTCCCCAGCAGCCTGTGTTGGGGTCCCCTGGGGGACGAGCGCAGAGATCGCTGGAAAGGGCTCCATGTCCGCCAACCGGGGCGACAGGGCCATCAACCTCCACCTTCCCCTGAGCAGCCTTAACACCCAGAAACAAATCCCGCTGAAAAGATAAACATTTCTGACGGACACGGGCCCCAGTGGGCTCTGACTTGTGTTGTTTCTTCTACAGATGAGCCCATCTCCGGGAGCTGCCGCTCGGGGCCCCCGGCCCTCACCCCACGGACGCGGCCAAGGGGCACTTTGGGAGCCGGGGGGACAGGGAGGACGGGGGCTACTAAACTGCATCAGGCTTGGTTTTATCTGGGACCTAAATTAAAACACAGCCGTGACTGCCACCCTGCCCACCGGCAGTGAGACCAGCCAGGGGATTCAATTAAAACGCTAAATTAATTCAACTGAATAACCGCTCTTAAGGCCACGTTCTTCTAAAAGGAAATCAGAGGAAACAGAAGATGGTCTATCTTTTTCTTGACGGCCTGGCGATGAGTCCACTGTTCACAGCTCTAAGAGGGCGCCGCATACGGGCCGGGGGCGGGCCTCACCTGCCACCAGCTCCAGCTTCTCGCCGGGGTCGCCCTCCGAGTAGAGCTTGGGGTGGCAGCGATACCCGATCTGGCTGATGAGGCTGGCGGGCAGGGCCACGAGGTCGCGGCGTATGAGAACGCAGGAGCGGCTCTCCAGCGGCACCGGCTCTGGCTTCTCTTGCACTGCGGGCACAGGACCAGCCCCGTCAGAGGTCCCCCGAGCAGCCCTGCTCCGGCGGGGACAGGGGACGGGGACGGGGACAGGGACGGGGACAGGGACGCCCTGCCTCCCACCCCAGCCTGTCAGAGCTGCGGGTGCCCAACCTCTGAGCACGCCCCGCCCCCCAGGCCCGGCGAGCCCTGCCCTCCTGATCCTGCCCCTGCGGGGAGAGCGAGCGGAGGAGGGCAGGTGAGAGGTGCCGCCCGGCCCGGAAACAAGTCACTGAGGCCCCGGGGGCTCCGGGGAGGCGTCTGCGGGCAGAGGCTCAGCGCAGGGTCTACGGTGGGGTGCGGCCTCGGTGAGTTGAGGGGGCACCTCCCTGGAGGCTGCACCGCCCACACCTGGCTGAGAGGCAGCTCCATCGGCATCTGCTAAGCACTTGCCAGCAGTAAAGACGGGCGGGGCAGATGCTGCATCTGTGAATGTTCCTGACAAACTACTGTGGA